ACGATTTTACAAGAATATATATAATAATATTATAATTATAATATAGAATTTTAATAATATAGAATATTTTATAATTTTAATTAAATCAACTTTTGCCCAATGTCGGGATTATAATGATAATTATTATTATAATTATACTTCTTTGTTTACTGCTGAGGAATATAATATGACGATCTGTGCAGTAAAGGTATTAGGTTAAATTCGATCACTTCGTATTGTTTTGTCTGTCAGATGTTTTGGTTAAGCACATCACTTGACAGTGGCGGATCCAGGGTGGGGGTTTAAGGGGTTCGGACGAACCCCCCTCTATGAAGAAACGTAACAAAATATATTAAAAATATATATAGACTGGGCCCTTACTTACAAACATGCTCACCTACCTAGGCATAGGTTGGCAGATCGGACAGAGGCTTAGCCCAACGGGTGTCTATAAAACGAAGACCGAAGACCCAAAAACGAAGACCCTATTTTTTTCCCTTTTATTTTGATAATATTATGCCAGCTTGTCACAAAATCAATATTATGAAATATTTTGGGCGTTTGTTTGTCTTCGTTTTATAGACACCCTATAAAACGAAGATCCTTGAAAATTTCACAAACAGACGCCCCAAAAAAATTCGTAATTTTGATTTTGTGACAGTCTTGCGTATTATCATCAAAATAAAATAGAAAAAATAGGGGTCTTCGTTTTTGGGTCCTCGGTTTCGGTCTTCGTTTTATAGACACCCTAGCCTAACAAGCATTCAATTAAATAAAATTAAAAACACTATTTTTATCTCGACGTAATAATTTATGTACGAAAGTGTGTTCTTCAGGCCTATTTTATCGACCTATAAGAAAGACTACGTATCCAACTAAATATTTTTGAAATATAGGCCTAATAATGTATTGACTATATTACCTTTGATTTTATTGTATGGTATAGGCCTAAGAATGAGATAAAATCACCTGATCTTTGTTTAAGAGGGGTAAAACCTAGAATTCTGATGAAATTAAAGGTCATTAAAAGACACCTCAGAAGTCGGGAAAGCTCATTTCCGGCTATCTAGGAATCAAAATTTTCCCGAGGGACCGCACCCCTTTCATTCTCGGGTTTCTTGGAATAATTTTGAACCCCTCTCTTTCAAATCCTGGATCCACCCCTGCTTGACATGGCATTTTGTTTAACCTTTGCTCATCCTCGGCATACCTGTTCACACCTATTTTCTTGTTTCTTTGTCGAAAGATTGAAAAGAAATAATATAAATAAATTTTACTTATATATTTGTATTGAAAATTCGTAGCGCCAGCGATCAGCAGACCGCGTCGCCTCGTCAAATGCTCAAAAGGAACGGAGATGGCTTTTTTTTCGGCCGACCGTCATGCTACACATTGTGTGTGCGTCTTTCTTTTGTGTTTAGGCTTAGTATCTATTACTACCTTGAACTTCGAATCCTTCCTTCTTACCTCTTCCTGTTTTTTCTCTGTTTTGCGGTTTTCTTTAGGATGCGTTTCCAAAAATTTCCCGATTCAACATCTTTCTGTGATAGCTTATAAAGCAGGACGTATACAATGCAAATCAAAAGACTGATGACAAAAAACTTTACTGCAAGTTCTTTGCTCTTGAATGTTGATTTGTACTTCCCCATCATTAATGTTCTTAGCGAGACATGCGTTCTATATTGACTATCAATGAACTCTGAAATAATAATAATACTAAAAATATTAAAGTTATTATATATTATTAATAATACATTTTCAAATCAAAAAAATGACAAAAATACCACACAAGACGGCAACGGTAGTGTTATACGATAGTAAGGTGCAAAAAAAAATAAAATAAAAAAAATAAAAAAAATAAAACAATTAAAAAGAGTTTAAAATGGTAGCTTCATTGTTGGTCCTTACCTCATTAACGATGCATTCACACCGAAACCGTTCAGATCGGAAAGCCTACCGAACCAATTGTAAAATCGAATGAGTGCATAAGAATAGGGACGCCAGTGTACAGCGCATTCTAACGCGGTCCGATGTGTGAATGCACCGAATTTACTTAATATTGTGAATGCCCGATCTTTGAGAGAGGAACGGTTTATGTATAGAAAATATAATCAAAATAAATACATTTCAACGTTCGTTGCCTTTATTTATAGGTTAATGGAAAACTCTTACAATCAGTTTGACTGTATTAAATTTATTATTAATCAATATCTTCACCATGACGCCCATCGTTTCCAATGGTTATTGCTCTGTAGGCCTATTCATAAAAATAATTGTTGTTCAGATCTTTAATAACATGTGTAGTTGTGTTGTTTTCGTTTAGAACGGTGATTTTTAACTGCATGACGTCGTCCCTAGATACGTAAACGAGAATAGAAAGAGGACGACAGACTGGATTTCACGCATCAGTGAACATCGGTAGTCCGTCGTCGTCCCGCTACCGCTCTGTTTCGTAATACTCTAATAAAATACAACGCAACGAGGTGCACGCAATTTTATGGACCAAATATTTTAAATTGTCTTTTTTTTAAATATCTGCTTTTAATTTTTGTTTTATTTATTTTGCTAAGTATTAATGTAGGCTATTTATTCTACTTTTATATAAAATATCAAATATTTCCTCATATCATTATGTAATGAAGACGTTAATTTTTCATATCTTTTAATCCACATTATTGCTATTTTATTTTACGAAATTTATGTTACCTTTTTTATTCTTATGATGATTATACAGTACAATTATATTTTATTGACGATTTATGAATACCATATTTTTTTAATGACGATTTTACAAGAATACTTATGATAATATGATAATTATAATATAGAATTTTAATAATATAGAATATTTTATAATTTTAATTAAATCAATTTTTGCCCAATGTCGGGATTGTAATGATAATTATTATTATAATTACACTTCTTTGTTTACTGCTGAGGAATATAGTATGACGATATATGGAGTACAGGTATTAAGATTGTGCAAGAAATTTATTTTACCTTTTGTTTATAATGATTATACAGTAAAATTATATATTATTGACGATTTACCTTATTAACGGTGCATTCACACCGAACCCAAATTTTCAGATTGGAAAGCCTACCGAACCAATCGGAAAATCGAATCAGTGCGTAAGAATAGGGACGCGAGCGTTCAGTACATTGGTGACGCGGTCCGATGTGAATGCAGCTTTACTTCTTGTGAATGCCCTTGAGAGAGCTGGTTTAGGTAAGAAAATAATGAAAATTAAGAAATGTGACGTTCATCGCATTTTATTCGATTCAATGGGCAAATCATAATCAACTTAATCAAATTATGTATTGTCAATACCGATAACTTCATTACGACGCCGGCGTTTCCAAACGTTTATTGCGCAATAAAAGTAGACTTGATTATCCAATGGAGTTTATAAAAAAAAAAAATTAAAAATAAACTGGATACAGTACTTACTCAACAAACATACGATAGATATATATTCATTCACGCAAACTTATTTGCTTAAACATAGACGATGTGCAATAATTTATAAGTAATGAAAACGACTACCACTGAAAATAATCGAACAATGTAGGCCTATTGCCCAAAGAAATATACAAAAACATCAGAATAATCAATTTTTTAAATTGAAGTCTATGTAAATAGCACAATAGTCATGCTAGTATATTGGCAGAGGCGTATCCGACGAAACGAAAAAATCGTTGGAAAAAATAAATCGGCGTTAGGGATATAGCGTTGTGTTTGTCGTCAATAGAAAATTCAAAATTAGTGAGTGGAAAAAGAATTGAATTTCCCCGACGAAAGCAGAGTGGGCGTGGTTGCGAAAGTGGTCTAAATTTACATATACATATAATTTTTTTTTTCTCCGTTACGAATTATGCTTTTCCTCCACGACGGGGTGGGGGCAGCTCTCCCCGAAGGGGCCCTGGCATCCGTCTCTTATACACATCTCCCCCCGGGTGCCACCACTGGTTACGTCTCCCGTTTAGTATTCCGGTAGTTGAGTAGGCCTAAGTCATCGTAAATAAACGTTTATAAAGAAATACTCGTGTCTTCAATGTGTTATTTATTGTTATTTATTCATATTTTATATACATTGTATTTAAAACCATGTTTTTCAAAGTGTTTTATTACACACCGGTAATATATTCTCGATTAAACGCCGCGGCGCTTATTCGAGAGCGGCTCTTATTCGAGCATTTACTCTATAATATAGAATTAAGTGCGTCAACCGCAGTAAACCTTTCATTGAACAAAACTGGTTCTCTTAACTGCTTTCAAACAAATCAAATTACTTCTACTTGGCAATAACTTTAATATCTAAAAATAAATATAAAATGTTCATGATGATATCATAATATACCTGCAATATTAAGAACGTTCCATAAAATAAAATTTAAAAAAAAAATCCTTTTTAATCGCTATTAAAACAGAATAAATTTGTTATATTTATTATTCATTCCATATTGTCAAAGTAAAAAACTCTATAAAAAGCAATAATTTTCATTCTTTAAAAAATTAGCATAAAGAAAAATGAGAATATAAGTTAACTTGTATATAAGTCAATTTGAAAGTTACTGTATATGATAGTTTTGAAATTAGATAAATTATATTCACATGTAGAAGATGCAAAGCATGGAAATACTGTAGTGCTAGAGTAATCTATTTTGACCTGTCCTCGGCATTCAAAGCTATGCAACCACATTTACTTACTAATAGATATCAATACGTAAAAATGAATGATTTGTCAAATCTTAATATGTAGTCAGTAACACTGGTGCACTGCAATGTACCGTCAGTGCTGGCTCCTTTTCTTCTTGCTTTTTATAAATTTGCTAATGACACCGAAATTGTAGGCCTTATCAAACATGACAATGGCAGTCATTACACATCTGAAATTGAAACTTTTGTCAGATATTGTAAAGATAATCTTCTTAAACTCCATGTTTCCAAAACCAAAGAAATGGTTATTGATTTCCGTACAAAATACAAAAAGGAAACTAGAAATATATGTGAAAGAATCGATTGTTTTCAAGTTCGTGTGTTTTATTAATATCATATCTCAAGGTTGCATTACGTTGGTGGCGGCAGACATAATATTACAATAAACATTACAATATCGCAATTGATAATAATCCAGTGAAGAAAGGTACCCAGTTAAGTACCTTGGAGTAAAATTTGATGACAAATCAAATTTCTCTAAGCACATAAAATTTGTCAGAAAGAAATTAAACACTCGCATGCATTGCATTATGAAAATAAATGCATTCAATGTTAATACTAAAATCATTATCAGGTTCTATTCATCTGTAATCTGTGTGGTAGAGAGTTTGCTTAGCAGGTTGGGGAGGTAATGCGTGACCGTTTATCTGAATGCGCGACCGGTAATTGTGAGACCGTTCAGAGAAGTCCGTAGGATTACAAAGACACATCTGCCTTCAATTAACTCTGTATACTGTATCACGATAGGGTGACTGAGCTATTCCATCATGTCCTGCATGATGACAATCATCCGCTTTATTATATGCTTCTTGGCTCCGTTGGGCCCTAGCATAGGTCGTATGAGTGTACCGATTGCAAAAACCAGTAGATATCGTGACTCATTTATCGCTTAGGGTATAAAAATCTTCAATGAAAATCATAATAGATAGCTAACAATTAAAATTTTAGTAATAACAATAATAATAATGGTGATAATAATAATAATAATTATTATTATTACTATTATAATTATTATTATTATTAAAATTGTTTAATTATTATTATTATAATTATTAAACTTCTTTAAACTTTACTGCCAGTCCGACAGATAGCCAGATGACTTTCTAGCCTTGGCTATAAAAACAGAAAAAATTAATTATATTTCATTATACATTCCGTATTTAAAATTAAAAAACACTATAAAAATCATTACAGTATATAATTATTATTATAAATCAGTACTAACTTTCCATAAAGGGAACTAAAGTTATAATTTAACATCTGTCAATTTAAAAGTTACTGTATATTCATAATCCCAACCTAATGCATTTTGAACCATTACAACAAGAAATGACATCATACCAGGCCAAAGGTCAGACTTAACTGGCGAGGGTGAGCTTAGTGTCATGTTTACTGTAGATATATTTATTATTATTGCATATTTTTTATTCCTACATAAATTTGCTGCTTCCAAAACAACTCCAGCATGGTTGTTTCTTTTGAAAATAAATAAACATTTTTTATGTACTGGCTCATGTACTGTTTCACTACCAAAGATTGAATGATGGCTATTTAAATTGGGCATTTCTTCCAGATCGACTCGTTTCTGCATTTTGTTTAACGAGCAAACGCATAACTTGGTGGCAACGCCTTTGTCAGCACAGCCTTCAAACTGACTGTAAGGTGTCATCCGTTCATAAGTCACTAACTTCATGCCCCCTTTCCGCGAAACTTCCAATATCACCATAAAAATCTCCATTAGCGAGGAATTATCTGGCGTTGGAATATGCAAGTCCATCTTCACTTCATGGTCTCCAATCTAATACAAAAAAAACATCCAATAAAATTAATCTGATTTAATAATGGAATAAATATACTTCGGTCTATTTTAATATTTAATTTCACATTATTTGAAAGTACAGTATTTTCAGTGGCAGCATCACCGTCTAAAATCTGGGGGGGGGGGGGGGGGGGGAAAAGTGAGAGGCAAGGTAAAATTTTAGGAAGGCAATATGTTTTACCACAGCAGACTGGAGATACAATTATAATTTATAAAATCATAACATTAACAGGTAACGTTTCTATCCATGTTTATTTGTATTTAAACGCTCAGTATATTTATTACAAATGCAGGAAGATTGTTAAATCATGGAGGAAGAAAATAATCTTCCTCCATGATTATATGCATTGCTTTTAAGTGGCCGGTGGCCTTGAAATGACAGACAGGTCGTTGGAAGAAATTAATTTTGTTGGCCAATCTTACAGTGTTTATTTTTCCGACAAACCTGAGGGTGGGGAAACTGGGGAAAGAAAATTATGTGGGAAATAATGGGGGGGGGCCCGCAATGCTTGGGAAATGCAAATGCACACACCCACCCCCTACCCCTGTAGCGCTACCGCTTTATTTTATATAACTGAAATTGTAAATCGAACCTCATTATATCTTTGTTTTATGTTTCCAAAACGGTGAGCTACTAGTCGTTGACAGGAGCCAAAGCCTCTCATAGCATCTGGATTTGATTTGCGAAATTGCTGCTGTATTGCGTTGTTGATGGAACCAAGAGCGAATTCCGCCATCAGTGCGTACGTTGCGTCATTTGCTGCTGCAACTTCAAAATCCTGACAAATGCAAACATTTGGTTCAATTCTAGGAATTTTACTACACGATCTGTTCAATGCTACCTCAGAAAAGATTCCATCAGGTTTAATTGAATATTTTTTATGTTTATTGTCCAAATTTTTTACATTTCCTTCGCTTAAAACTCTCAGAGCATAGTGGATGTCCAGAATACTGACCAGGCGCTGTTGGTTCACCTTCAATGCATTCATACCCTTTTCTCCCAGAGTTTTGGCAACGCCTGGTGGAACGACCATAAACAAGACCGGATGGAACATCTCTACCCTAGCTTCTTCACTTCTCTTGATGAACTCGCCGTATGTATTTCCATGATCAGATAGAATAATAGTAAAAGTGTTGTGTAATTCTGAGACGGTTTTAACATAGTTTGCTAGATCCTCGTCCAATGTTTGAATGCGGCGGCCATGATAATCGTGAGCAACATTCAAGAGCGTATGATGAAAGAACGGCTTACGATTCGCCTCCAACAACACCTGCCGTTTCCTAAGATACTCTAATATATAATGATGCTGATATTGCCCGTTGTAGCATAATGCAGGTGGTCCGTGGAACGAGTCACGGTGATGATTATCATGCAAAATCTCACAACTTGCCAGAGTCATATCTACACGATCAATTCCAGCTTTTTCCAACGCCACTTTCAGGAGTTCCCATCTGCTTTTAATGTCATAACCAGGCATATATGCTAGCAAATTTTTTACAAGTCCCCATTCCCACATCCAGCAAAGATCTTCGGTGTACATAGTTTCGTATCCTTGCTTCTTGAAACCAGATAAAATCCTATTCAGTTTAACAGGAGTCGGGGGCATGTCCTGAGTGCCAAAGGGTTTTTCAACATCATACAGCTCCCCAGAAAATAGCGCCTGTAGTGTCTCATACGTTCTACCTTTCAGTGACTGAAACAATTCAAAATTAAAAACAGTTGTTTCCCGAAATCCACGAAGTGTTTGCAGAGTTTTAGGCATCGAGCGTAGAAAGTGACTATGTGAGACAGAGTCTATAAACAGGATGTTGATATTTATGTGGGTCAGGGATTGTTTTCCTTTATTAATATATGGAGGAATAATAAGTAATTGCTGGGCTATATCATCTACTTCTATGTACGCTTCCATCGCATTAAAACTGTTGACGACTTCATATGCTTCTTCATCTGTTATTTCTTCAATGTCTATTGCACATCTGATAAAACAAAACCCGTAATGATCCGTCTTTTTGACAAACAGCGCCCTCAAGTGTCTCTCAAGATGTTGTGTGGAGGGAAAGTCCTGCCATTGTAGATCACCTGTGTCAGGGTCAATCTGACCAAGTGAAACTTTTTTATCTACACAAATACTTTCGGAACATTTTACAACAACATTAGCACCAGTTCCCTGAAAAGAGAAAAACAGAAATTAAAAATTTTGTTAAATTCCATTTCAATTTATTCAAGCCAAATGCAGGCAGGAGGCTAAATTACATGATATTTATGAAACAAATCTTGAACAAAAGGTACTCATTTACAAATACATAACAAAGTTACTTGTATTAAAATATAATTTAACCTGGCCTCTTTTCAAACTTTTATTAATAATTTTGATACATTAATAATAAATTTGGTAAACACATTTCAAAATAAAATAGAGAGGATGAGCGATGGTTGGTCAAAAAACTTGAGAGTAAGTCTAGGTCCATGGTAAAAAAAATCCTGATGAATCAACAGACCCTCTAATTTCCAAATAATGTTGTGTTTGGCAACACAACATTTTTTTGCCAATGATTAGCATAAATCTAACACATTTAAATTTTTAATTTCCATGGATAAAAAGTTTATTATAAACAAGCCTGGTTCTCACGAGAGCCCTAGTATCCGGATCGGGAGCTAACCGTTAGCGCTCACCGTTAGCACCTGCGTGAGAATGCCCGATCGGTTAGCACTAACCGTTAGCAGTATCCGGACACCGCTAACGGTTAGCAAGCGCTATCAGTTAGCAAGTGAGTGCATTTTTATCATCAACCAATCACACGTACACGTTTACAAATTCCAGATTCTTATTGGCCAGTGATTCGATCCTCATATTTTTGGTATCCGGATCGGGATTTTCCCATATGGACGCACGGCAGCTAACGGTTAGCAGGATCCGGATCCTGCTAACCGTTAGCAGCCGTGTGAGAACATAGCCTCAAGCTCACTGTAAAATGGCAAATGTTATTTCTTAGTTGATGCTTGCACGTATCCACTGGTGAAGAGAAGAAGAGTTCATCAGCCAACTGACAGGATCCGCTCACAGGCGTCAAACGCTGACATCCATAAGGAGACAAAGGGATGCTGGAGTTGTACCTTTCCAAATGACATTCCTTAAAAGCAACCTGAAGATTGGATATAAAGAATAATTTATTCAGAAACTATTGCATCAATATGTAGACTTGCCACAAGTCTCTAATTTATTGATTTTTCCTATTATGTTGGAGAGCGCCACCAGCATCTGTTGGAACACCATGCAAATAAGTAATATGGAACGCCATTGGTGCCAAAAATTGATTTATTTTTAAGCGTTTTCCCCGATTAAGACAAAAATTTGGGACTGAAATCCAGTCTATAATATGTACTGTACAACTTTATGTATTGATTTCACAGAGAACGCCTTGCATTCACCTAATGTTTGTTATAATAATTCTTTTTAGAAGTTTGTTTAATTTGCCTAGGTATTGTAGTGCACGTCATATGTTTCTCATAAATGACCTGCCTAGTTTTCAGGCTTTTTTAAGGAAGACAATCTGCAGTTTCATTCTGAGATTTCAGTCGAGTGAAAATAATCTTATCAAATGTATGGTTCACCACAATTTACCTGAGTGAAGGCTTCTCTCCAAGTGGAGATATGCTCATGTTAAATTTTTATTCTCATATTTTATTGTTTTGTCTCTGTATTATTTTATAACTTGGTTTTTAAATTAAAGTAAATGTATAGAGTATTAACAACAAGAATGTAATCAATATGAGAAAAAAACATCCCAAAAATATATATTAGCATTTTATTAATATACAAATCACTATGCAAATTAGGTTGACCTGAGCAATAATCCTCTTTGTGCATCATTGATGTTTTCCATCATATTTTAAAAGAGTACACACTCTTCCCCACTCTCTGAAAGAATACTGATTGATGTCATTTTTATTTTTCGTAATCAGGGGTACATTTTGGGGGGGGGGGGGCCTTTTGGAAAGTAGAAATAAATGAAAAAAAGAAGGAAACATTAATGATCAACCAAAACAACTCAAAGTTTATTTTTGAGGGTCTAGGAAACAAAAAACCCTCCTAGGGTAGTGTTGTCTCTCGATCAGCTCCCCCTTCGGACTTCTCTCTGGGTACGCCCCAGATAATTAAAAGCATACAATCCTATCTAACCAACAAAACTCTCCAATGCCTGGTTTGTAAATTCATGAAAACAAAATAAATAATATCATCAACATAACGACGGTAGAACGTTACCGGTGTGTGGGTGAAGTTAGTTAGACAAGTTTGTTCATGGTGAAAATTTATGATCAAATTGATGGGGTTTCAATGGGCTCGCCTTTCACACCTGTTTTGGCAAATTTATTGATGGGTCACCATGAACAAACTTGGCTAACTAACTTCACCCACACACCGGTTACGTTCTACCGTTGTTATGTTGATGATATTTTTTGTATACTAAACTCAAATGATCATGCTAAAAAATTGTTTCAAAATAAATAATCCTTTTACCTTTCCATGTACCTTTCGAAGAATTGAGTTTATTCGCATGCGTTTCAGAGAACTCTCAAATTCAACATCTGGTTCCAAGAGCAGGAAAAGCAGGAAGTATGCGCTATATATCAGAAGACTGCAGACGAGGAGTTTCACGGCAAACACTCGGCTTTTGAAAGATGTTCTGAACCTGCCCATCATGAATCGTTCACTTGAATGTTCTCATTGCCTTCCATACGAGTCAGGAAGGCACGCTACATTATTTAAACAGTAAATTCTGTAATTGAAAGCATTTTGATGGTGTTATTCATTTTGCAGTGCTTACATTTTAGAAGAAAATGCTCTAAAAAATGTAACCGCAATTCACTAGACTTTTTTTTTTCCCAGGAATTAACAGCTGCCATATGGCAACCTTTCCTAATTTCTATTAAAATCAGCGGCTTCTCAAAGATATGAGAACAGTAGGATGCTAAGCTGTAGTTACACCCTCCACCCCTTTCCAATGTTATTGAATTCTAAATACTTATGGTATCAAGGAGATATTTAATATTTCCATTTTTATTTCCATAATGCTAAAGATAGCCATAATTAAGCCTGCAGTTACTGCCTAGCCTAGTATAGGCCTAGGCCTAGTGGTGTTTTTAATGTACTACTGTATAGTTTTAATACAATTAAAAAGTTTTAAATCACAAAAACAAAGAAACCCACAATATAGCATACAACCACTCAAGTTATTAGTATTTATCGTAAAGGTGACCCGTGGTAGGAAATAGTTTTACCAAAAAAACACCAAAAAAAATCTGTCAAGCCTCTCTAGGCTCTCTCTCTTGATCTCGCACAGTGCCATCAACAGGTTTGATGATCAGCAATGGAGATAAATCTAAGCCTAGCTAGGCCTAGGCTTTTTGGCTAACGATACGACAATAAACATGACTAACAAGCATTCGTTAAACTAATTTTAACAGTAGTACATAGTGTAATATATTTTTAGAGGTATGGGATAAGAAGACATATTTCTTGATTCTATATTGAAAAATAAAATCATACCCGAAAATACGTTCAAAATCTTTCCAACATTGTTTACCACCGTTAAAACAAAACCTACAAACCGCCGCGTAGCGGCGCTATACGATCTTTGCTACAAAAAGGTATTGATGGGCGACACTCCCACTACAGGTTCATTAATAAAGTAGCAATATAAATTTAATATACATTTAACCAGAGTAGAGCCCTGTATGTAGTAGTAGTGGTACAAGTTCCATCGAACACAAACTGCTAGCTGTCCTGCACGAATTATGCAGAAGATGTCGCTGAAATTCAGTCTGATGCGACAGAAAAATAATTCTGCTCTGGAGGGGAGGGCTCCCGGGAATAATTTCATCACCTGCAACAGCAAAGTTTTCTTTTTCAGCAAATTTTTTGAAGGATACGTTTTTTTCCAATCCTCCACTTGTCTCAGATTTTCTTGACCTATTTTTGAGTATGTACATTGTACTATATATGAAGGAAATACATGTATCAAAAATTAGTATTCTGTAAATGACAGTTCTACTGTATGCATTTGCCACATTATTGCTATTGGAATTAGAATGCAAATTTTTGAAATTTGAAGGATTTTTTTCTTATTATAATTGCCTTTATAACTTCAGTACATAATGTAGAGTAATTCCCATTATTTCTTCAGTATATACTGTATATACAGTATAGCGCAACAATTGAGGGTTTGTAATTTCATATTATCTTGTTGTTCTTTTAATATATTATAAGTTACATATGAATTTTAATATAAAATATTGAGCAGTCCTAAGAGAATGAATTGTGTGTCCTTTATATTTTGTTTTATGCAGTAAGATTGAATATTCTTTTTTACCATTTCACTCTGAAATGTCATGTGGGCAAGATAACATACTAGTGTATAACTCTTTCAGTGTGAACCACGGTTTAGTTCCTTCATCTGTTCATCTCTTTTCATCACAAGCAAACCTGTTAAAATGGAATACAGTCCAGTGAAACTAGGTACACAATAATAAGGACTACATAAAATTATTATAAACAATATGCAGTATGTACAGTATAGTTCGACATAAACACTGACACAAATCAGTATTACTGAATCGCATCACCCGATGGTCCACAGGATAGATGCAGACAAGAATATCCAGATTAACGACATACAAACATTTTTGCACGCCACCTTGATCATTTTGTATAGTGTTAGTCTCAATAGACTTGTCCACATCCAGAGACCATCCCCTGGTGATACCGCCCCATCTACCCCTCCCCGAGCCCTGACAATAACATTTACGAATATCTTGACGTGACACAATTCAGAACAACAATATTTCTATCACTCAATTAAGTAAATACTGGATTTATCTCAATACATTACACATAAAACATCAGTTTTCGGATAATCAATGAGTCGATTCACAGAGAACAATAGTATTTTGTAAAAGTCTTCATCTTTGTACAGTAAAGTGAAAGAATGGCAGCGGTAAATGCCTGAAAATTTGTATTCACCTTAAACAAGAAAAACTTGTTTTTTTTTTTTTTCTTTCATCACTACTGCATTATGGGTACCACTACTGCATGTGTTATTATATTTTATATGTTAGTCCTATTAGATGGTGGTGTTATATTTTATAATGTTAATCCTTAGATGGGCACCGCTACTGGATTATGGGCACCACTACTCTGCAGGTATCCCATATATTGGTGTAACGATGCTGCAGGTGTTGTTATATTTTATATATTTAATCCTTAGATGGTCACCACTACTACATTAATGGCACCACTACTGTTGTTATATTTTATATATTAATCCTTAGATGGGCACCGCTAATGCATTATGGGCACCGCTACTGCAGGTGTTATTATATTTTATACATTACTCCTTAGATGGCCACCGCTATTGCATTACGGGCACCGCTACTGCAGGTGTTGTTATATTTTATATATTAATCCTTAGATGTGCACTGCTATTGCATTATGGGCACCGCTACTGCGGGTGTTGTTATATTTTACATATTAAATCCTTAGATGGGCACGGCTGCTGCATTAGGCACCACTACTGCAGGTGTTGTTATATTTTATACATTAATACTTAGATGGGCACTGCTATTGTACTAAGGGCACCGCTACTACAGATGTTGTTATATTTTATATGTAATCCTTAGATGGGCACCGCTACAGCATGATGGGCACCACTCTATAGGTGTTGTTATATTTTATACATTAATCCTTAGATGGGCACCGCTACTGCATTACGGGCACCGCTACTGCAGGTGTTGCTATATTTTATACAATAATCCTTAGATGGGCACCGCTGTTGCATTATAGGCACCACTACTGCAGGTGTTGTTATATTTTATACATTAATACTTAGATGGGCACCGCTACTGAATTATGAGCGCCGCTACTGCAGGTGTTGTATATTTTATATATTAATGCTTAGATGGGCACCGCTATTGCATTACGGGCACCGCTACTGCAGGTGTTGTTATATTTTATATATAATCCTTAGATGGGCACCGCTATTGCATTATGGGCACCACTAATATAGGTGTTGTTATATTTTATATATTAGTCCTAGATGGGCACCGCTATTGCATTACGGGCACCGCTACTGCAGGTGTTGCTATATTTTATACAATAATCCTTAGATGGGCGCTGCTACTGCATTACGGGCACCGCTACTGCAGGTGTTGCTATATTTTATATATTCTTAGATAGGCACCACTACTGTATTACAGGCACCACTACTGCAGGTGTTGTTTTATTTTATACAATAATCCTTAAATGGACACTGCTACTGCATTATGCACCACTACTGCAAATGTTGTTATATTTCATATATTGATCCTTAGATGGGCACCGCTATTGCATTACGGGCACCACTACTGCAGGTGTTGTTTTATTTTATACATTAATCTTTAGATGGGCACCGCTACTTCAGGTGTTGTTTTATTTTATATATTAATCCTAAAATTTATTTATTTGTTATTTATTTATTTATTTATTTATTTATTTATTCTTTATACTGTAGGCACTTTCAGTAGTATTACACTGATTTTCAAAGTGATACAGTTTAAACATAACAAAATTATATACAATATGAAGAATTGTTTAACAAAAAATAAAAAGAGGCCAGACCTAAATCACTATATAAATTATAATATAATTCTTACCTAGCTTATGCCCTACGGTAAGAGGGCAATGCGAGGTAATTTATTAACATTAGGTAAGGCATGCACAAGTGACTTTTTTTATTGTCTGAAAGTTGGTCACAAACACAGCAAAAAAATAAGTTAGTTTTATTTTATTTTTAGCTTGTATCAAAAAGTTCAGAATCTTATTACTATTGATTGGTTTGTTCAAACAATTTCCATATATTCATATCACAGAAAGTGTTTTTAATTAAAATCATACCAGTAACCAAGGAAGGCCCGGGCCACCTGTGAAATTTCCCCTCCCCCTGTAAAAATCCAAGTGAAAATTGAGTATGGAAAAAGTAGCAACAAATAAACAGCAAATAGTTATTTCTTTAAATTTATACATGTCCTATATGCTTAATACTCTACAACCTCGGATAAATACGTACATATTCATTTTCAATTTTTCTAACACACAAGTTAAAATTAATAATTTTATCATTGGAATACACAACATATTATGAATCATGAGATTTGCCCTTATACACTTAATAGCTAAAGCTTCCATGGGGTTGCAGCCCCAGACAAACAACCATCCCCTTTCCTCAGACACACAGGCCATTCACAAGCCCCACCCCAATGAAATTTGATAATTAATTTGGACAGGGCTTTAGGCTACCTCACTTATTCACACGTGCTTTTAGGTTAAATAATTTATTTTTTTTTACTTTCAAAATGTTGGAATTTTCACTAAAATTATCTTTATTCTCGGTTGCAAATAATCGTGACACAACAGACATGGATTTATACCGCGCCGTCGCACGTTCGCCATGGCGAAGGTCTGAGAAATATATCATTTTAATACATACAGTTTCCTTGCACATTAATTAGCATTTTCATTTTGTGCTCAATTTCATTTGCAAGTCGTTTGCTTACGTATCAATTATGTCATAAAAATAATCATGTATCTTAAGCTCGTCCACACTATCAAATTTTCTTTGAAAAAAAAACAACGGGATGCCCATATATAGTCTAGATATGCCTATATATGGTCATGATGTGCCCATATATAGTCACGATGGGCCTATATATGGTCATGTTTTGATGTCATTACACGTTTAGACATGTCACTTTTCTTAAATAAAATTTGATAGTTAATTTGGACAGGGCTTTAGGCTACCTCATTCATTCACACGTGCTTTTAGGTTAAATAAATTATTTTTTGAATAAATAATAAACTACAAGTCCAAACATGGAGACATAAGAGAAACATAATGTTTAGAGAGAATTTTCATTAAAAAAACAAAAACAAAAAACAAAAAGAGGTACTTTATACTATATATGATTTATTGTATTTATTAATTATATATAAATAGATCAAAGGTACAAAACAAGAAGTCTATGTTGCGATTTTCATAATGTAATAATTATATTATTATGCATTTTTTTATAAAGTGGGAAATATACAGATCACAACGCTAATCGCGATTTACTGTACAAAGCATTTATCATGAAGGTCGCCCTCTATAAAACGGATTATGGAAATTCCCCTTGCCATCATTACGTCATCAATATATTTTTTTTTTCCGGTAATACGGCGACTCGCAGCATCTACGTTGATTTGAAGCCAGCAATGAGGCTGGCGACGAGACTTTTATTTCTCGATTTACAGCCTAAAATGTGTCCCCTTAATACAGGTGTCCCAAAGGAGAGGTTCCACTGTATATTCAAATAGGACATAAAGTACAATAGACTCATTCAAACATATATAAAATATCGAGATTTGTAGAAATTTTATTAACAATGTACCTGTATTTTTCTATTATAATTATTTACAGTATGTCATTACACTCAATTATTTAATCATACATTTATAAAATACAGGTAAAATCTACGTACATTATTATATAAATTTATATGGCATTTAGTAATTCTATTTATATGTGCCAAAATTATTTACAATAATTCATTATACTCAATAAAATTTATACATGATGTCAAACAGTGTGTTAAATTCATATATTCAAAATATTTGAAAATTCATAAAATTGTTTATAGGTCTATAATTAATTAATTAATTGTCAATTACTTTATTGATTATATAATTTAGTATTTACAGTACCAGCTCTTACACGTCACATTGCAATAGGCTTATTATATCAACACCATTCTTCTAATCTAAAACATATAAATACATTATATATACAGCGATAAATTAAATACATACATAGTAGATATTGTGTGGTTACTAGCTAGAGGGTTTCTTACGCCTCAAACTTGCCGCTACATTCACTGTCGCGAACAAGGGTTGTATTATTGGGATTCTTGTTCTAAAAGCCATTTACATTGCTTCTGTTGGTGCTTTGGCAAAAAGGAGTGTACGTCTATTCATGGAGGAAATATAATATATTTCCTCCATGGTCTATTATACCACTACACAGTAGTGCAGTATTTAGTTCATAACACGGAAGGGACAAAAGCGGAAAACTGGTTTACAAATCGAAGAATAACATTCTAAAATGCGATAATTTTGAAAGTGGTTATAAGCAGCGATCGCCAATAAGGTTACACTGGTGAAGAAGCAGCAACGAAATCGTATTTTGATCACGATAGCGTGGATGGAACGGAATATGATTTCTATGATGCTAGAATTAATAATAGCAGCAAGGAGCTACGAATGCTTTCGACTGTGGGTGACGATGGTGAAGGTACAATAAGCCGTTTTTTTTAACTTGGGGGGAGTTGACCTGCTTTGTGCTTTGTTTATTTGAAGGACGTGCTTAGATTGGCTTATTTTATGGGACATGCTGAACAACTTCCATCAGCCAAAATAAAACGCAATGCACCTGCACTCACAACCTCGTAGGCCTATGCAGTAGACCAACTTAATTTACGGGCTTATGTTTACGTTCAGAGCTCTGGCAAAATCATTTGTGGATGTTACGCGATACCTAATTATTTGTCTTGTGAAAGGAATTGGTAATTTGTAAGTTCCCTTTTGCTGTATTTTTGCCATATATATAATATATCTTTGAAATATACTTATGTAAAATAATGCAGTTCATGTAGTAAATATATTTTTAATGTGTTTTTCTCTCAGTTCAGTTGGGTAGCTAAAGTAAGTACTTAATTGTATAAAGTAACATAGGCCTGTCCAACTAGCGGACTGAATACCAAAACAAGTTCCGTGTCCAGTGGGCTTAAACGTGTGCTTTAAATTTTTATAAGAATTAGACAACTATACTATTACTGAGATTACCGAATTTATGATTAATTTTGAGTTTATTCCGGTTTAAGCCTAATTGTCGTGTGCGCAGAAGCTCGATCATTTTGAATGGCTTTCTGTGACGTATGCCTACAGATCATTTTGCCTATGATGCCTTTCTCCACGAGATGATACTGTCTAAGTTAGCGGTAAAAGTCAAATTCTGTAATCCAACTACGATCTTGGACAGGAATATTGTAATTGATGTGATTTGTGCGTTGTCCGTGCCTTAAGATTTGTTCAACTTCTAATTCCAAATACTCGTATCTACACAATGGACAAGTCTGGCTTCTGTACAACCATTCCGTTATACAGTGCACATCGGCGGATTGATTGCATTGGAGGCATTTCCAACGTAGTTGGCCCAATGCGCGTAAGCAGATACAGCAGTTCATTTCGTTGTTTTGGTCCTAAATAAAAGGGTAAAATATAATATATACTGATGAAACAATATCGGCCAATATTCAAACCTCAACCTCTGTCTATATGTAATGTTATGCTACAGCGCAAATATGGAGAAAAGAAATATTTGGACCTACCTGGGCTCTTTGTCCGTGACTTAAGATTTGTTGCACATCCCAGTCCAAATACTGGTACTTACACAATGGACAAGTCTTGCTTCTGTACAACCATTCCGTAATACAGTGGACACTGTCTCTTATACACATCTAGATGTGTATAAGAGACAGATAATACATAATGTAAATAAGGACAATTGTTTTTATTAAAGAGGACCAAATAGATATTATATTTTAACATGATGTGTGTATACTCTAAACAATAGACCATATGGTAAAATACTAAATTATATAGTTTTGTGTAAAAATTTTAATTTTATAGTTTTAATGATTGTGAAGTTATGATAATAATATGAAAATCATTATGATTATTCATAATTATTATATCTGGATGCTAATAGCATGAGATATATTCATGACTGGCATTTCAGCTGAAGAATACAGAAATTTTTGGCGGATCCAGAGTTTTTTTTAAACGGGGTCGGGTTGGGGGAACAACATTTTCAGAATGGATAAGTGAGTAGCACATAACATTGATATGCATTGAAATTTTGAATTTAGTGGAAATCAGGGCGGGCCACGTGCCCCTGTGCCCTTACGAGAAA